CCGAAATCATCTCAAGATAACCTCAAGAAGAAATCTACAGCTGATATCTGGGAGGCCGCGAGGTACCAGTAATACTCCGCCCAGCAAAGTAGTTCCTTCTCAGCTGGAGATTGTTAGGAGAAATGTGAACTAGAATCGCCTAACTATGTGAGGGAAAAATGGACTCAATCAAAAAGCATGCATGGGGAATATGGTAAATAAAGTCAATAAGGGGTTTGATTGCAAATGTAAAGAATAGAGTATTAAGGGGCGATGACGCAAGAGAGGTTGACGCCATCTTGACTTGAGGGGAGGCGGATTCGTTGACGACCAGAGCTTGCTACCTGAGGGTTATTCTCCGGCCGTACAGTCACATAAGCCAACCATTGCCAGTTATTAGGGTTGCAAGATAGGGTAGAGTAGTTATGCAGACTTTGGTGATGTTTTATAAGAGAGAGTCCAGGTTTCCTAAAGGTTTCATACATGTGTCACTGGCTGGTAGGTAAATTTTAAATTTTTTTAAATTTTGCCCTGCGGGGCGAGTTTATTGGGCAGCGCCACTCATCTTGTGAGTGGACATACCGCCATAGTGACAGTATTGGGCAGCGCCACTCATCTTGTGAGTGGACACACCGCCATAGTGACAGTATTGGGCAGCGCCACTCATCCTGTGAGTGGACACACCGCCATAGTGACAGTATTGGGCAGCGCCACTCATCTTGTGAGTGGACACACCGCCATAGTGACAGTATTGGGCAGCGCCACTCATCTTGTGAGTGGACACACCGCCATAGTGACAGTATTGGGCAGCGCCACTCATCCTGTGAGTGGACACACCGCCATAGTGACAGTATTGGGCAGCGCCACTCATCTTGTGAGTGGACACACCGCCATAGTGACAGTATTGGGCAGCGCCACTCATCTTGTGAGTGGACACACCGCCATAGTGACAGTATTGGGCAGCGCCACTCATCTTGTGAGTGGACACACCGCCATAGTGACAGTATTGGGCAGCGCCACTCATCTTGTGAGTGGACACACCGCCATAGTGACAGTATTGGGCAGCGTCACTCATCTTGTGAGTGGACACACCGCCATAGTGACAGTATTGGGCAGCGTCACTCATCCTGTGAGTGGACACACCGCCATAGTGACAGTATTGGGCAGCGTCACTCATCCTGTGAGTGGACACACCGCCATAGTGACAGTATTGGGCAGCGCCACTCATCCTGTGAGTGGACACACCGCCATAGTGACAGTATTGGGCAGCGCCACTCATCCTGTGAGTGGACACACCGCCATAGTGACAGTATTGGGCAGCGCCACTCATCCTGTGAGTGGACACACCACCATAGTGACAGTATTGGGCAGCGCCACTCATCTTGTGAGTGGACACACCGCCATAGTGACAGTATTGGGCAGCGCCACTCATCTTGTGAGTGGACACACCGCCATAGTGACAGTATTGGGCAGCGTCACTCATCCTGTGAGTGGACACACCGCCATAGCAGCATGTACAACACTCCCCAATAGGAAGAAAACCCGCTGGGTTGTTCATCCTGTCACTTGTACCCAGACACAGCTGGGACTTGCTTAACTGTCTCAAGTGAACAGCTCCTCAAACAAGAAGATTAACATTTATCAACCCTTAAAAGCTTACGTTATCTTGCGGGTGCAAAATGGGGAATCTTTTAAGAACAGTATCAATATTTGACAAAGTGTTTTCCTAACTCAAGCAATGTGGGGTTTATTATTCTACACATATTCCTAATGTCTCTCAGGTGTTCACATTCACGTAGATAGTGGTCAAGGCGGTGTCCATCACTCTCACCACAGATTCTGCAACTTCGCTGATCAACTGTTGTTTCCATTCCAAATCTCCATGGATATTTGTATCCAAGACGGATTCTCGCTATTACTGATTCTCTCCCTTGTCGTCTTCCTCTTCGGCCATAATGATTGGGATTGCCAGCTGCAACCATGTTATACCATCGTACAGATTCACTGGTTTGTGCTTCTATCCTCCTTTCCTCAGTTACCTTGTCACGGTGATGTTGCCTGATAATACCTCTAATTTGTAGCAGAGTCTTGGGTATGAAGTATTCAATATGGTCTCCTTCAGCGCCTTCAGCAGCCAGCACATCTGCTCGTTCATTCCCACATATTCCAACATGGGAGGGGATCCCCAACATGGGAGGGGATCCACAGAACCTTGATGACTCTTCCCTGGTTGGTAAGTACTCTCACAGCTCTCTTAATTTCAGCGACTATTGCAAGATTTTCTGCCCGATTTTTACTTAGGCTTTGCAGTGCTGCTTTTGAATCGGTGCAAATCACTGCACCATTTGTGTTCCGTTCAAGAAACCTTAACGCCATAACAATGGCAGTTAGCTCTGCTTGCGTTGAAGAGGCATAGTTCTCAACATGCGCTTTTTCTTCATTTCTGCGTTGGAAAGTATTATCCTTGATTACCGTGTGTGCTGCACCAGCCCTGCCATTGACAGGATTAGATGACCCGTCAGTGTAGATTTGATCTAGTTCATCTCCGACTTCTTTATAAATTTCCTCGAGATACTTGTGCCTCATTTCTTGTGGTAACATGTTGGATTTTTTCGTTGCCATTTCATTGATGATCTTGCATGAGTCATCCTCCCAGGGAGGTAACCTCTCTACAGGCAGGAGCTCACGGGCTTGCTCAAGCAGGTGAAGCTCTTCAAGGTAGCAGACTGATCTGTGATGCCATTTTTTGCTTCTCCTGTTTCCACCTGAAAGTAACTCTCAGTTTTTTCTTAGCAATATCATTGCAATGGGGATCTCTGGCTATCCTAATTGCAAGCTTAGCATTCAGCTCCTGAATTCTGCTTTTAACACTGGGGAGGGACAACTCCTCTCGTAGATTAGACGTTTTGGCAGTTCTTGGAACTCCAAAAATGATTGTCATGGCTTCATTTTGAATGCTTTCAAGCCTTTTCATATCGCTTTGGGAGTAGGTGCACAGAACTGGTGCGGCATAGTCTATGACGGAGCGCACATAGGCTGTGTACATCATTTTAAGCACGGCAATAGAGGCTCCATGTCCATTCCAGGTCAGAGCTTTCAGTGCCGGTGCAATAATAGTCCATAGTGCTTGCCAACAGCCACTAGGATTTACTTTTTTGCCGCTTTCAAACCCTCAACACTAGGACTGTCGACAATTTGTTGTGCTACCAAATCCATTTTTAGTTTGCTAAGCATGGCTCCTCTACGTCAGTGTTACCACCCTCCAGCATGACTCCTCTACGTCAGTGTTACCACCCTCCAGCATGGCTCCTCTACGTCAGTGTTACCACCCTCCAGCATGGCTCCTCTTCGTCAGTGTTACCACCCTCCAGCATGGCTCCTCTACGTCAGTGTTACCACCCTCCAGCATGGCTCCTCTTCGTCAGTGTTACCACCCTCCAGCATGGCTCCTCTACGTCAGTGTTACCACCTTGCAGCATGGCTCCTCTACGTCAGTGTTACCACCCTAGAGCATGGCTCCTCTACGTCAGTGTTACCACCCTAGAGCATGGCTCCTCTACGCCAGTGTTACCACCCTACAGCATGGCTCTACGTCAGTGTTACCACCCTCCAGCATGGCTCCTCTACGTCAGTGTTACCACCCTCCAGCATGGCTCCTCTACGTCAGTGTTACCACCCTCCAGCATGGCTCCTCTACGTCAGTGTTACCACCCTCCAGCATGGCTCCTCTACGTCAGTGTTACCACCCTCCAGCATGGCTCCTCTACGTCAGTGTTACCACCCTGCAGCATGGCTCCTCTACGTCAGTGTTACCACCCTCCAGCATGGCTCCTCTACGTCAGTGTTACCACCCTCCAGCATGGCTCCTCTACGTCAGTGTTACCACCCTCCAGCATGGCTCCTCTACGCCAGTGTTACCACCCTCCAGCATGGCTCCTCTACGCCAGTGTTACCACCCTAGAGCATGGCTCCTCTACGTCAGTGTTACCACCCTGCAGCATGGCTCCTCTACGTCAGTGTTACCACCCTAGAGCATGGCTCCTCTACGTCAGTGTTACCACCCTCCAGCATGGCTCCTTTACGCCAGTGTTACCACCCTCCAGCATGGCTCCTCTACGCCAGTGTTACCACCCTCCAGCATGGCTCCTCTACGCCAGTGTTACCACCCTAGAGCATGGCTCCAATACGCCAGTGTTACCACCCTAGAGCATGGCTCCTCTACGCCAGTGTTACCACCCTAGAGCATGGCTCCAATACGCCAGTGTTACCACCCTAGAGCATGGCTCCTCTACGCCAGTGTTACCACCCTACAGCATGGCTCTACGTCAGTGTTACCACCCTCCAGCATGGCTCCTCTACGTCAGTGTTACCACCTTGCAGCATGGCTCCTCTACGTCAGTGTTACCACCCTAGAGCATGGCTCCTCTACGTCAGTGTTACCACCCTAGAGCATGGCTCCTCTACGCCAGTGTTACCACCCTACAGCATGGCTCTACGCCAGTGTTACCACCCTCCAGCATGGCTCCTCTACGCCAGTGTTACCACCCTCCAGCATGGCTCCTCTACGTCAGTGTTACCACCCTCCAGCATGGCTCCTCTACGTCAGTGTTACCACCCTCCAGCATGGCTCCTCTACGTCAGTGTTACCACCCTAGAGCATGGCTCCTCTACGCCAGTGTTACCACCCTAGAGCATGGCTCCTCTACGTCAGTGTTACCACCCTCCAGCATGGCTCCTCTACGTCAGTGTTACCACCCTCCAGCATGGCTCCTCTACGCCAGTGTTACCACCCTCCAGCATGGCTCCTCTACGCCAGTGTTACCACCCTCCAGCATGGCTCCTCTACGCCAGTGTTACCACCCTCCAGCATGGCTCCTCTACGCCAGTGTTACCACCGTAGTGGTATATAATAATCTACCACATAATGTGGTAGATTATGTGGTGGGAGGTCAATAAAAGGCAAGAAAAAGTAAAATTCAATCAAGCTGTGAGTCGAAAATTTATTTTTAATGATGTTCGAGTCAACATAAAAATATTCTTGAAAAACATTTGCCTGGGCCCCCAGTAGCTGAAGACTGGTGTCTGGGCCCCAGTAGCTGAAGACTGGTGTCTGGGCCCCCAGTAGCTGAAGACTGGTGTCTGGGCCCCAGTAGCTGAAGACTGGTGTCTGGGCCCCCAGTAGCTGAAGACTGGTGTCTGGGCCCCAGTAGCTGAAGACTGGTGTCTGGGGCCCCCAGTAGCTGAAGACTGGTGTCTGGGCCCCAGTAGATGAAGACTGGTGTCTGGGGCCCCCAGTAGATGAAGACTGGTGTCTGGGCCCCAGTAGATGAAGACTGGTGTCTGGGGCCCCCAGTAGATGAAGACTGGTGTCTGGGGCCCCCAGTAGATGAAGACTGGTGTCTGGGCCCCAGTAGATGAAGACTGGTGTCTGGGCCCCAGTAGATGAAGACTGGTGTCTGGGCCCCAGTAGCTGAAGACTGATGTCTGGGCCCCCAGTAGCTGAAGACTGGTGTCTGGGCCCCCAGTAGCTGAAGACTGGTGTCTGGGCCCCCAGTAGCTGAAGACTGGTGTCTGGGCCCCAGTAGCTGAAGACTGGTGTCTGGGCCCCCAGTAGCTGAAGACTGGTGTCTGGGCCCCCAGTAGCTGAAGACTAGTGTCTGGGCCCCCAGTAGATGAAGACTGGTGTCTGGGGCCCCCAGTAGATGAAGAATGGTGTCTGGGGCCCCCAGTAGATGAAGACTGGTGTCTGGGGCCCCCAGTAGATGAAGACTGGTGTCTGGGGCCCCCAGTAGATGAAGACTGGTGTCTGGGCCCCCAGTAGATGAAGACTGGTGTCTGGGCCCCAGTAGCTGAAGACTGGTGTCTGGGGCCCCCAGTAGCTGAAGACTGGTGTCTGGGCCCCCAGTAGCTGAAGACTGGTGTCTGGGCCCCCAGTAGCTGAAGACTGGTGTCTGGGCCCCAGTAGCTGAAGACTGGTGTCTGGGGCCCCCAGTAGATGAAGACTGGTGTCTGGGGCCCCCAGTAGATGAAGACTGGTGTCTGGGGCCCAGTAGATGAAGACTGGTGTCTGGGCCCCAGTAGATGAAGACTGGTGTCTGGGGCCCCCAGTAGATGAAGACTGGTGTCTGGGGCCCCCAGTAGCTGAAGACTGGTGTCTGGGGCCCCCAGTAGCTGAAGACTGGTGTCTGGGCCCCCAGTAGCTGAAGACTGGTGTCTGGGCCCCCAGTAGCTGAAGACTGGTGTCTGGGCCCCCAGTAGCTGAAGACTGGTGTCTGGGCCCCCAGTAGCTGAAGACTGGTGTCTGGGCCCCAGTAGCTGAAGACTGGTGTCTGGGCCCCAGTAGCTGAAGACTGGTGTCTGGGCCCCCAGTAGCTGAAGACTGGTGTCTGGGCCCCAGTAGCTGAAGACTGGTGTCTGGGGCCCCCAGTAGCTGAAGACTGGTGTCTGGGGCCCCCAGTAGCTGAAGACTGGTGTCTGGGGCCCCCAGTAGCTGAAGACTGGTGTCTGGGGCCCTCAGTAGCTGAAGACTGGTGTCTGGGGCCCTCAGTAGCTGAAGACTGGTGTCTGGGGCCCCCAGTAGCTGAAGACTGGTGTCTGGGGCCCTCAGTAGCTGAAGACTGGTGTCTGGGGCCCCCAGTAGCTGAAGACTGGTGTCTGGGGCCCCAGTAGCTGAAGACTGGTGTCTGGGGCCCCCAGTAGATGAAGACTGGTGTTTGGGGCCCCCAGTAGATGAAGACTGGTGTCTGGGCCCCCAGTAGCTGAAGACTGGTGTCTGGGGCCCCCAGTAGCTGAAGACTGGTGTCTGGGCCCCCAGTAGATGAAGACTGGTGTCTGGGGCCCCCAGTAGATGAAGACTGGTGTCTGGGGCCCCCAGTAGCTGAAGACTGGTGTCTGGGGCCCCCAGTAGCTGAAGACTGGTGTCTGGGGCCCCCAGTAGATGAAGACTGGTGTCTGGGGCCCCCAGTAGATGAAGACTGGTGTCTGGGGCCCCCAGTAGTTAAAGACTGGTGTCTGGGGGCCCCAGTAGTTGTAGCCTGGTGTCTGGGGCCCCCAGTAGTTGTAGCCTGGTGTCTGGGGCCCCCAGTAGTTGTAGCCTGGTGTCTGGGGCCCCCAGTAGTTGTAGCCTGGTGTCTGGGGCCCCCAGTAGTTGTAGCCTGGTGTCTGGGGCCCCCAGTAGTTGAAGACTGGTGTCTGGGGCCCCCAGTAGTTGTAGCCTGGTGTCTGGGGCCCCCAGTAGTTGAAGACTGATCAGTCGGGTTAAGCTGCAGAGACAATGAGCCGAGTTACCAAGAATCTTACAATTTTAAACTTTGCAATGTAATTCATATTTATATTTCATATAAATTAATGTTCTCCATAAGATGAAAGGTTTCGAAGTGGGGCCCAAGGGTGGAGGCACAACCCAAGCACACCATCAGGGCTCACCAGCTAAAACAAAAATTATGTCAATAATTTTGCAACATTGCAAACCAATGTTGGAAACATTGGAAAACAATGTTTGCCTGATGGTCATTCGACGCACCTCTGGAATAGTGCTGAGCTTCCCACACCGCTCTAGCACACAACTCTACAGGGAACACCAGTGTTAGAGTCATATAGAAGAAGAGCAGAGGTGCCATAGGCACAATCAGAGCACACTGTATAAACATCAGAGGTCCGCGGTTGTTCAACGTCCTCCCAGCGACTAAGAAATATTGCCGGAACAACCGTGGACATCTTCAAGAGGAAACTAGATTTATTCCTCCAAGGAGTGCCGGACCAACCGGGCTGTGGTGGGTATGTGGGCCTGTGGGCCGCTCCAAGCAACAGCCTGGTGGACCAAACTCTCACAAGTCAAGTCTGGCTTCGGGCCGGGCTTGGGGAGTAGAAGAACTCCCAGAACCCCATCAACCAGGTATCAACCAGACACCCTATAGAGCCCTAGAATTCAGGGCCTAGAACTACGTTCACCAATGCCAGTGTTGACACCCCAATGTCTCCTCTATGGTAGTATTGCCAAGCCAGAGTGTTTCTTCTGTGGAAGTGCTGCCAGCCAGGAGAGAGAGGTACCTCTATTATAGCAGTGTTGTCACCCAAATGTGTTGTTGTTCCACATTAGTGTTACCCAGAGGTGCAGTGCCAACTTTATAGGTGCCGGAGCTCTGATGTTGCTGACAAAAGCCTGTCATTTCCTATCCTGTCTCTATATGTCACACGATTAAGTATTTCGTGTTTGTACTCACTAATTATCATAAATATAATTATCAAACAAATAAAGAACACACATTAATCATGTCTTTATCAATGTAAGAAGTTAATACAGTGCTCACAAAATACAACCAGTGAGAAGTCTCTTAATAGTTCTCACACAGGGTCAGGTGTGAGATCCCGCCAAACACACACCGAAACTACGACGTTGGTACAACGTTCGAACAAGTTTTAACACCTCCTAACCAGTTATAACAACCAATATAGCAAGTTGTAACAACGTTCTAATACGTCATAAACACGTTAAGCCAAGATGTAACAACTTTATTACAAGTTGTAACAAGTGGAAAATAGAGACAGTTTCAGTTTGTGTTTCCAGGGATGTTTTCAGTGGTGTGAAGCACCTCTTGTCGTGGTGCCGCAGCCATGATATATGGCTTATGGCTCAGGATGCCACTGAACTAGAGGTGGTTCATGTAGTTTAATAAACATAAGTGCTGATACATGATTTATGAGAGTTCTTGAGCGTGTTGTTGTGATCAGGTTCATGTGACTGATCCCCTCTCACACTCAGCAGTACTAATAGGAATAACTTGTAAACAGTTCAGTAATGGGGCCTCGGGGTGAATGGGGTGAATCAGAATGGGGTGAATCAGGGGCCTCGTAACCTGGTGGATAGCGCGCAGGACTCGTAATTCTGTGGCGCGGGTTCGATTCCCGCACGAGGCAGAAGCAAATGGGCAAAGTTTCTTTCACCCTGAATGCCCCTGTTACCAAGCAGTAAATAGATACCTGGGAGTTAGTCAGCTGTCACGGGCTGCTTCCTGGGGGTGGAGGCCTGGTCGAGGACCGGGCCGCGGGGACACTAAAAAAAAAGCCCCGAAATCATCTCAAGATAACCTCAAGATAGCCCCATAGGTGTTACCACAACTGAGTACGGGGGCCTCCACACCTGTGACCACATCTGAGTGACGTCCTTCATGAGTGTTCCCACACAGGCAGCAGTGTTACCAGCCGAGAGTGAGGTTGGTCAGGCGGGCGTGGTGGTGGAGCCAGTCAGTGAGGGGCGCCAGGTATTCCAACATGGCCGAGGCATCCAGGTGTGTCGTGCCCGTCACCCTCTCCAGCACCTCCTCCCACCTCACAGACGACCCGGCACCCATGACCTGCCTGTGGGAGATGGTGGGAGTGTTAGTGCTGCTGCTGCTGTACTGTGGGAGTGTTAGTGCTGCTGCTGTACTGTGGGAGTGTTAGAGCTGCTGCTGTACTGTGGGTGTGTTAGTGCTGCTGCTGCTGCTGTACTGTGGGAGTGTTAGTGCTGCTGCTGCTGTACTGTGGGTGTGTTAGTGCTGCTGCTGTACTGTGGGAGTGTTAGTGCTGCTGCTGCTGTACTGTGGGAGTGTTAGTGCTGCTGCTGCTGTACTGTGGGAGTGTTAGTGCTGCTGCTGTACTGTGGGAGTGTTAGTGCTGCTGCTGTACTGTGGGAGTGTTAGTGCTGCTGCTGCTGTACTGTGGGAGTGTTAGTGCTGCTGCTGCTGTACTGTGGGAGTGTTAGTGCTGCTGCTGTACTGTGGGAGTGTTAGTGCTGCTGCTGCTGTACTGTGGGAGTGTTAGTGCTGCTGCTGCTGTACTGTGTTAAGAATTAGAATGCAAGAATTCAACACTGTGAAGCATTCAAATTAGGTTTACCACCGGACATATGACCATTAGCACTCGGTGTAGCACTGGACATTTGGAATCACAGAACTTGGTGTCGTGCTGGACATTGAGACTTGCACTACGGTTAGTGCTGGATAATCAGACGCTGGTATTGGATTTAGTGCTGGCCATTTAGGGGACCCAGTTGTGGTCAGGAGGTGGTGGTGGTGGTGGTACCTGAGGAGGGTGCCGGCGGGGCGGGAGCCAGCGATGGAGCAGGTGTGGGCAGGGGCGGTGAGGGGCCGCCCGTGGGTGGCCTCACACAGGCCTCGGTGTACCTGGAACTGAGCCACGACCGCCACCAGGTACCTGAAGGAGATGGGAGAGCCATCAGCACCCACTCTCGTTTGCAATATAAAGTTATTTTCATTTTTATTATAAGTATTTTAGGGATGACCAATCAGGAGGGGTTCCCGATCAGGGGAACCGGTTCAGCGACAGCGCCGGTTCCCTGGTCCCCACCGACCTCTAAGAGGTGACTCTCTAGTATTCTTAAACCAAATTATAATTCTTGAAATACTCTGGAACCTTCTACGTCCTCATCATGTGATTGTCAAAGCCAGTCAGGAATAGGACCACGCATAGCATTATCTGATACCAAAGCTAATATATGTCAGCCAATCAGGAAGCATTCATTGATTGGTAGGGATTAAGCTACCCGAGTATGAATAGCACGGCACGGGCATGAATAGCACGGCACGGGCATGAATAGCACGGCACGGGCATGAATAGCACGGCACGGGCATGAATAGCACAGCACGGGCATCAATAACCCGTAAAGAAGAAGCAGGAAACTCACTTCACTGAAATAATATCGTTGGCTAATGTTAGTCATTATCTGGAAGACTGGGACATTTGTTTTTAAGCATATATACAGAAGCCTCGAGCTGCCGGGCATGACAGCCGGGTTGACCACAAGAACCAGACAGCAGAAGTCTTGAACTAGAAATGCCCATAGAGCGGGTAAGCAGGGGATGAAAGAACGGGGCGAGGATGCAGAAAGCTTGAGTGAGGATCTGGGGCCAGATTCACGAAAGCACTTACGAAAGCACTTTCGAACCTGTACATCTTTTCTCAATCTTTGGCGGCTTTGTTTCCAATTATTAAACAGTTAATGAGCTCCGAAGCACTAGAAGACTGTTTATAACAATAATAACAGTTGAATGGGAAGTTTTCATGCTCGTAAACTGTTTAATAAATTTAACCAAAGCCGTCATAGATTGAGGAAAGATGTACACGTTCCTAGGTGCTTGCGTAAGTGCTTTCGTGAATCTGGCCCCTGGAGAGGAGGCGGAGAGAGGAGGCAAAGATCGGTGGAACAACCACCGCGGATTTGAACTTGGGTTGATTTCAGTAAGGCTGAGTGTAACGTTCTTGGCAGTACAGTACACACCGGGGCCGGGCTCAGGAGCCCGGCCCCTGTGTGTACTGCCAAGAACGTTACTGTTACCACCACCTGGCTGGTGGTGAGTGGAGGCAGTCGGTGGTGTTACTTCATTCTTGGGTCTTCATTCATCAGGCTTCAGTTCTCTTCTTTCTTCTGACTGCTTTCTTCAGGCTTCAGTCATCGGTCTTCTTCGGTTTCATGGTAGTCTTGCTTCTTCTTGACATGCCAGTGCTGTCGTTCGAGGTTGTAGGTGTGATGTTAAGTAGCAAGTCTGCAGGGCGGTAGTGAAACTTTCATTGAGGAGGGATGGTAGGTGTCCCAAATGAGACATTGTCGTCCGACGAGTCAGCTGAATCGAAATCAGAAGCGGTGTTCCTTGAAGGTTGAGCAGTAGCGGGCCGTGGAGAGGGATGTTGAGTGGGAGCTACATCAGCAGCAGGCGTAGAGGATTCAGTGGGCGCACTCACGGTCTGTAGAACGTCAGCAGGTGGTGCTGAAGGAGTCACGGCGGCAGGCTGTTCACCTGCAGGGACGGTGGGTGGTGCCGAAGCAGGTGTCGTCGATGGTTGAGGCGTCGGCTCCGGGGCAGCAGGCACTCTCGGGAACACTGATGATTGTCAAGCCGTTTGCAGCATACAGTGAGTTGATAGTTGTGACGAACAAAGGATTGTCCAACCCAGCAATCCTTTCAGCAAGTCTGAAAAGAACTGGTACAAGACCAACATTTGAAGTAGATCGAGGCTAGGCTGCTGATTGGATGTTGGGCCCCCCAATGAGGAGGCTGGAAGGGCCGGGACGCGGAGCAATCGCCAGATAGAGCAGGAAAAGCTTCTGATTGGTTGGTAGGAACTAAAGAGTTGGCGCTGGTGGAAGCGGCGTTGCTGGTGGAGGAAGAAGGTCGCCTCGGCAGACATTCGGACTGATGAATAGTGGGCTTTACCAGCCCCACGAAACGATTAATTGTCCCCGAAGTCTTGCTATCTCCTCTGGAAGGGCAGCCTACGATCTTGAAAAACAGAGGGGGAGCCTATCCACCTGAGATACAAAACACAGTTAACGTAAAAGAACCCCCCCCCCCCTAAAAAATATTAGAGTAGACATCATGCAAGCTCCCGGGTAACCCCGGTAGACGCAAATCTCTTGTACACATCTTCCACCCAGAACTTTTTAAACAAAAAAATGCCATTCAAACGGGAGGACCTGAGATACTACAACAAAGTGTTTTTTCTCCATTCTGGAATACATGAGATTTGTGATGCTATATATCTGGGGGGTTTCAAACAAATCCCAACTTACTTTCTTGTTCACAAGGCAAATAAAAAATGCCGGCGGATAGTACCCGCAGCGGCCAAGGGAAGAAGTATAAACCATCCTCCCCCTGTGAAAAAACTCAACCTAAAAAAACGTGTCAAAGAAACACCCCTCCCACAGGAGTGCTTCTACTACACCAGAACGAAGCTCCTCTGAGAGCCCAATACCCTCCGCCCAAATATCCCCTGTAATCATTCATGATCTTAATTCTGTTCTCTTAGACCCACAGCCACAACGTGCCTGAACAACCCAAGACGATATCGTCCCGCTAAACACACATCGAAACTACGACGTTGCTACAACGTTCGAACAAGATTTAACACCTAACCAGTTATAACAACCAATATAGCAAGTTGTAACAACGTTCTAATACGTCATAAACACGTTAAGCCAAGATGTAACAACTTTATTACAAGTTATAACAAGCGAAAAATAGAGACAGTTTCAGTTTGTGTTTCCAGGGATGCGACCACGGAGACAGGCCTCCTCGATGCCTTGAGCTCCAGCAGCAGAGATGACTGGGACACCTCGCTATTGGCAAACCTCAAAGCCGTGACCTCCATAAACCTACGCCGGAACCAGGCTCCCTACCAGGGATCTGGAGAGAGAAGAGTGTTTGGACAGGTTCAGGCGGAACGGCCCTGAAATCCCTGCCCTTTGCAGTCCCCGAAACAGGACTGTATAACGAAAATATAACAACGGCCCTCATCGATCAGGTTTTTTTCAAACGAGAGTAAATACGACGGCATAGTTCTGGGCCCAGAGGAACTCGAACTGGCGGATCTGATGAAACCAGTCTTTTCAACTATTGAGTACCTTAAAGATAAGCTTAAACACATACAGCGCGCTTCTATTCAGTGCACAGTACCAGAATATCTAGGTCTTAAAACTACAGTTCATTTCTTTTCCACAGATCTCCCTCTCTTTCCAGCCCTAGACAAGTTTGTCACTGAGCTGAACACAGCACACGCAAGGAACCTGATGGGGATCTACACCTTGCTGTTGAAAGCCTCCTTGGCAAGGGAGAACTCAAAGCTAGAGACGACGATCACAGGAGGACTGATGGATGGAGCCTGGCCCCCGCTGAGAATAGACGCAACTTTATGGGAGGGTTTCAGACGAAAAACCTATCCGAAACACTCTCCACCTCCAGCAACTTACTCAGGGGAACTTACTGTACGGTCAGGTCAGTCCACGACAAAATATTCAAGCTTTCAGACAACGCCAGCCGAAGGAACCTGGAAGGAACTACGGCAGAAGGTAATGAGCATCCTAAGACCACAGGCCCAGACCCAGGGGCAACAACTGGCTACACCACACTCAGTCTTACAGCCGCTCCTTGATGACGAGATAGGCACTAACCAACAGACCCAGGTACAGTCTTTAGCCCCACCTAAAAACCCGGGGCAGCAGTCTACACAGCCTGGCAGAACGACATCTCAATCGCAGATTCAGGTAGCTCAACCCCAACCACAGACCCAGGTAGCTCAACCCCAACCACAGACCCAGGTTACTCAACCCCAACCACAGACCCAGGTTACTCAACCCCAACCACAAACCCAGGTGGCAGCCCAGGACCTCCAAATGCTCCTCTAGCAGCCCCCACCCTGGCCTTATGCTCAACCCCCAGCAGGGTTCCTACCCTATGCTCACAACCCCTACTTTCAACCCTATGCCCAACAACCCGGGCCATACTCTAACCAGAATTTTCAGGGTCCCCCTCAAACCATCCCGCAGGGGCAGACCTGGGAGGGGCAGGGGCAGGAACAGAGGGTCCACACAGGGCGCCGGAAATGGCACCGGGTGGAACTATGGAGGACGGGCAAAACGTGACCTCAAACGGGCCAATATCAAACGGGCAAAATCCCTAAAAAAACGGTGGTATCCGAGGTCCCTCTGAGCACCATGCAAAGGGACCTCTTGAGTAGGGGCCTGTCCTTTGTGACTGGGCCCCCTACAGAACCCAAACGGGTACGGGCAGTAGAGGAAACCCGCTCACACCTAGAGACACAGATTAACAGGGCATGGAGCAAACTCAGGTCAGGGGCAAGACCCCACCAAGAAAGGAAACAACCCGAGAGATCGCTTTCAATAACATACCTGAATCCTGTCTCAGCTCAAGGAAACACCACTTTCAATTTAAATGGACTTCACCCACAAATCCAGGCAACCCTGGAAAGCCTTAAAAGACAGGTAAAGCAGAGAACCCGTGGTAACCTTACAAAAACACACAGAAATACCTGAACCTTAAGGCTCGCCCAGACATTATAATTAAACCCGCGGATAAAGGCGGTACTGAAGTAGTCTGGAGAAAAACGAACTACACAAAGAAAATGGCAAGGCACCTCTCAGACGAGACGACTTGCAAAAAAAATACCGCAGAGCCAAACAGCCCTGAAGAACGCTAGGACAAGGAGCAGAAACCTGGTCCTGAAATTTTTTAACAATAAACAAGCAAACTCAACAGAAGGCATACTCAGCGCAGCAGCAAGAGACTATTACCTTGCCTTTAAAGCAGAGCTTCCGAACCATTACCTCCTTCCTAAGATTCATAAAGATTTACACAGGTACATGGCAGGGCAGACCAGTCCTTAGTGGTTGCAAAGCACCAACTCGCCCAATTGACTTGATCTGCACAGCATTACTAAACCCCCTTCTCTCTCTTTTAGATGAACGTCTGAAAGACACAATTGATCTTTTGCTGAAACTGAGGGATTTGAATGCAAGCAGAGGACCCGTCCCAGAGAACACGAGCCTGTTCTCCCTCGACATAGTCTCCCTCTACTCAAGCATCCCCCAACGGGAGACAGCGAGATTGGTCTCGACGTACTTCGACGACCATAAACACCTCATACGCCAGCCCCTCAGAGACGCAGGAGTTTGGAGGCCCCAACCAAGGGCCCTCCTGGAGGAAGCGATTCTGCATGTCATGAGGGATACAATTCTATCCTTCGATTCAGCAGCGTACAGACAAGTAAAGGATACGGCAATTGGAGCATCAAGTAGTGTGGCTATAGCGGAAATCTTTGTTCACGTGGCCTTTGAGCACCAGAGAGCACTCCGCCCAGATAAACCACATGTGTGCTTCGTTATATTAATGATATTTTCGGTATAATGACTGGACCAGACGCACTCCGCCAGTCCTTCTACGCCTGGACCAGACACACTCTGCCAGTCCTTCTACGCCTGGACCAGACACACTCTGCCAGTCCTTCTACGCCTGGACCAGACACACTCCGCCAGTCCTCCTACGCCTGGACCAGACACACTCTGCCAGTCCTTCTACGCCTGGACCAGACACACTCCGCCAGTCCTCCTACGCCTGGACCAGACACACTCCGCCAGTCCTTCTACGCCTGGACCAGACACACTCCGCCAGTCCTTCTACGCCTGGACCAGACACACTCCGCCAGTCCTTCTACGCCTGGACAAATACAGCCCACGAAAATCTGAAGTTCACCTTGGAGCAGAGAAAAAGAGAGATAAACTTCCTGGATAAGACAGTGCTCATTGGCAGTGAGGACAGGCTCCTTCACACGAGGGCCTACTACAAGCCCACGATCCTGCACACGTATCTACGATACGACTTCAGTCACCAGCCAGGAGCTGGTCGGCAGAGCGGACAGCACGCTGGACTTGTGATCCTGTGGCGCCGAGTTCGATCCCGGGCGCCGGCGAGAAACAATGGGCAGTTTCTTTCACCCTATGCCCCTGTTACTTAGCAGTAAAATAGGTACCTGGGTGTTAGTCAACTGTCACGGGCTGCTTCCTGGGGGTGGAGGCCTGGTCGAGGACCGGCCGCGGGGACACTAAAAGCCCCGAAATCATCTCAAGATAACCTCAAGATAACCACCCTTCTTGGCCTAGGTTTGCCCAATCACCTCCAATGCTGGCCTGGAGACAAGGAAAGTCACTTAAGGATCATCTAGTGCATTCCTTCCTCCACAGGACACACTGCCTTTAACCAAACCTGACACAGGCCGATGGTGCAAGAGGTTCCCTATCCTCTATCTACCCAAGGTTCCCTATCTACCCAAGGTTCCCTATCCCAGGGAACCCCCTGGTTCCCTGGGATAGGGCCACGAGGTTGAGAAGGCCCCACAACATAATACCTAAACTTGAAACCCACCATATACTGCAGGTACATTGACGACATATTTATGCAGGTACCTGATGTCAGACGTTTGCAGCAGCTGAACGAGGCATTCGAGCAAAATTCGGTGTTAAGTTTCACTTATAAGATGGAGAGTGAAGGGAAGCTGCCCATTCTAGATGTAACAGTCACGGAAAGGAATGGTGGCTTCCACACTGCAGTGTACACTAAGGAAACTAACATAGGAATGTGCCTCAATGCCAATAGTGACTGCCCAGACAGGTACAAGAGGAGTGTTGTCCACGCTTACGTCGACCGAGCTCTCACTCACAGCTCTGGTTAGAAGCAGGTCGACGAAGAACTCTGTAGGGTAAGGCAGGTCCTAGTCAACAATAGCTTCTCTAATGGTTATGTTGAAGACGTCGTTAAAAGAAATGCGAAACGCCATGCGACCTCTGAAGAGTCAACCAACACAACACTTGTACCTCCCTATTAGACTGTTCTACAGGAACTTCTTTTCAACGGCTCATAAAACAGGAAAGGGTCCTGAAAGATATTATTAATAGGAACGTTATCCCTACAGACACAAATCAGAAGATACAATTAACAATTTACTACAAAAACAAGAAAACGGCCAACCTACTCATGAAGAACTCTCCAGACACCAAACAGAACGCCTTAAAGAAACCTACGTCGTCTATGCCTTCACAAGCCCACTTGGGGACTGTCAGCCCAAAAGATCTCAGTATATAGGCAAGACAACAACGTCTCTTTCTAGGCGGTTAACAATGCACAAACAACAGGGCTCCATCAAGGACCATATAATCTCCTCACACAACCAGACCATCACCAGAGAAATCTTAACAAGCAACACAGAAATTATCAACAGATACAACGACAACAGAAAACTCGACATCAGCGAGGCCCTACACATCAAAAAGTCAAAACCAGCAATCAACAGCCTATTAACACATAATTACATTCTACCCACTTCAAGACCTCGAACCAACACAGAAGCATGATAATAAAACACGCAATATACCCATTGATTCATGTCCTATCACCTCACCCCAAAAACGAATATAAACATTAACAGAGTATGTCAAATTGTCTTTGAAAATCTAAGAAGTGTCTTACGAAACACATCTAGGCGTCAGACCATAAATAAAGTGCGAAAATTAACTTTGGAGAGTTAATTTTTCAACTGCCCTCGACAGTGAAGAAAAACATAAGAAATATTGAGAAGATTCGTGTTAGAATCATTAATCTTACCTTTTCGGTCATATTCAGCAATATATATACATAATTATACCGTACGACCTACCTGACGCAGAGGTGGTGGCCAGGACCTACCTGACGCAGAGGTGGTGGCCAGGACCTACCTGACGCAGAGGTGGTGGCCAGGACCTACCTGACGCAGAGGTGGTGGCCAGGACCTACCTGACGCAGAGGTGGTGGCCAGGACCTACCTGACGCAGAGGTGGTGGCCAGGACCTACCTGACGCAGAGGTGGTGGCCAGGACCTACCTGACGCAGAGGTGGTGGCCAGGACCTACCTGACGCAGAGGTGGTGGCCAGGACCTACCTGACGCAGAGGTGGTGGCCAGGACCTACCTGACGCAGAGGTGGTGGCCAGGACCTACCTGACGCAGAGGTGGTGGCCAGGACCTACCTGACGCAGAGGTGGTGGCCAGGACCTACCTGACGCAGAGGTGGTGGCCAGGACCTACCTGACGCAGAGGTGGTGGCCAGGACCTACCTGACGCAGAGGTGGTGGCCAGGACCTACCTGACGCAGAGGTGGTGGCCAGGACCTACCTGACGCAGAGGTGGTGGCCAGGAACTACTTGAAGTAGAGGTGGTGGCCAGGACCTACTTGAAGTAGAGGTGGTGGCCAGGACCTACTTGAAGTAGAGGTGTTGGCCAGGACCTACCTGACGCAGAGGTGGTGGCCAGGACCTACTTGAAGTAGAGGTGGTGGCCAGGACCTACTTGAAGTAGAGGTGGTGGCCAGGACCTACTTGAAGTAGAGGTGGTGGCCAGGACCTACTTGAAGTAGAGGTGGTGGCCAGGACCTACTTGAAGTAGAGGTGGTGGCCAGGACCTACTTGAAGTAGAGGTGGTGGCCAGGACCTACTTGAAGTAGAGGTGGTGGCCAGGACCTACTTGAAGTAGAGGTGGTGGCCAGGACCTACTTGAAGTAGAGGTGTTGGCCAGGACCTACCTGACGTAGTGGTGTTGGCCAGGACCTACCTGACGTAGAGGTGTTGGCCAGGACCTACCTGACGCAGAGGTGGTGGCCAGGACCTACCTGACGTAGAGGTGTTGGCCAGGACCTACCTGACGTAGAGGTGTTGGCCAGGACCTACCTGACGTAGAGGTGTTGGCCAGGACCTACCTGACGTAGAGGTGTTGGCCAGGACCTACCTGACGTAGAGGTGGTGGCCAGGACCTACCTGACGTAGAGGTGTTGGCCAGGACCTACCTGACGTAGAGGTGTTGGCCAGGACCTACCTGACGTAGAGGTGGTGGCCAGGACCTACCTGACGTAGGGAGTGTTGTCGGCAAGGTGAAATTTGGCTGCAGGATCGAAGTGTTCTTCAGAGCGGGGCGTGGGAGAAGCGAGCCCCTGGTACTGCTGCTTCAGGAGCCACCACGACCTGTTGTACGCCTCCTCCCGTATCTGCAGCGGCCACACACGTCTTTACACCTTATCATACCTACAACATCTAATCTTGTAATATTAAAATATTTAAAAAACTGTGGATAACCTGTGTAGTGTTTTCCTGAGCCGTTCACCTCAGTTTATCATTTCCCTCTCTAGTCATCATCATCACTCCTCACACTTCTCTCCCCTCAGCCAACCCTCACACCCTCCCCTCGGCCCCCCCTTCCTCACCGTGCCCTGGAAGACCCTCCAGCGCCACTCGTCCATGACCCTGGCGAAGGCGAAGAGCGGCAGCTTCGTTAATGCCACCAGCAGCAGGCCCCTCAGCTCAACACCTGCAGGAATAACAGACTTTCTCAGAAGGTGTGGGTGAGGTGAGGTCAGGTGTGGTGAGGTCAGGTGTGGTGAGGTAGGGTGTGGTTACGTCAGGAGCGGTTACGTCAGGTGAAGTGTGGTTACGTCAGGTCAGGGTGTAGTCAGGTGAAGTGTGGTTACGTCAGGTCAGGGTGTAGTCAGGTGAAGTGTGGTTACGTCAGGTCAGGGTGTAGTCAGGTGAAGTGTGGTTAGGTTAGGTGCGGTGTGGTTGTAGTCAGGTCAAGGTGTAGTCAGGTCAGGTGTGATGACGTGTGAGTGGGTGTGATGCGACACTGTATACACTACCAGGTGCAACAGATGAAGAAAGAGTGATCACTGGAGCACTAACTCGGACCAAAAGACCTTCCAACAGCAACAGGTGGACCCATTGTGCAATCAACACTATCAATCACTCGAGATGATAACTACAAGCACTGAGAGGCATGTCGACGACATACATGCAGACTTCGTTATGCAACATGTGTAGGTATCATTGCCAGCAGACTTTAAAATAATGGTTATCTTAAGGTGAACTTGAGGGGTCTAGTGTCCCCGCGGCCGGGTCCTCGACCAGGCCTCCCTTTCGTTACACATCCCCAGGAAGTGGAAGGGGCAAACTACACACTGACCCCACACTGAGTTTTATAGATTCACGCAGTGATTGACTACAAACACGGGGCTGTCTGTAGATAGTGAGTCACAATGGTTCACTGTCTGCGAATGAAATACACTAGCCTACATTCATTGACACTATTGACTGCATCCCTACTCACTTCCAAACCACTGGCAAACCTGCCACTAATCATGTGAAACATGCCAACACCAACAGCATTAATTTCTTCCTTGGCTCTGAAGACTATCGTCACACCTGTTTTAGGGACCTGCTTCTAGTAATCTCGCCCAAGCTTCTCTGACTCCTGTACTCACTATTGCACAAAAAACAAAATGCTCTGTTCTTGTATGTAATGTTGACAGCTCTGTTCTTTCTACACCTAACGACAGCAATCACTCTTAGGACATTTCAGACTGGAATGACATTACTATCAAGGAGATTTACCCAGTACTTAAAAACCAAACTCCTCAAGATTCAATGTTCCTTCCCTGCAGAAGCTCAAAAACTCTTGAATCAGGGTATCAAAATCCTTAACACCAGCATACCTCCCTACCTCATCAGTCGAGTTGAATATCTTCCATTGCTGCAATGCTTTAAATGCGACCAGTACAATCATGAAATACGCAAATGCAGACGTCCACAAATTTGCTCCAAATGCTCTCGTAAAGGCCATGTATATACTCAGTGCCCAGCAACCCCCCCCCCCTTAAAATGCTCAAGTTGCAAGGTGCTCATTCAGCAATAGATAAATCTTGTCCTCTGAGGAAACAAACTCTGAAAGCTCTTCGTACTAACCAACATCGCACTCATGCACCACCTCATTCTTCCTCAACCTCCCAAAACCCATCCCATCACCAAACTGCATCAGCCAACTCTACGTCTTATGCCAGTGCTCTACATTCCCCTTCTCCAATCACTACTACTCCCCTTCACACTCACCCCTCTCCACCTCTCTTCCCTCACCCACCACCTCCACCCTACTTTCTCTTTTTGAGATATATACAAGAGTTGTTACATTCTTGTAGAGCCACTAGTACGCGTAGCGTTTCGGGCAAGTCCTTAATCCTATGGTCCCTGGAATACGATCCCCTGCCGCGAAGAATCGCTTTTTCATCCAAGTACACATTTTACTGTTGCGTTAAACAGAGGCTACAGTTAAGGAATTGCGCCCAGTAAATCCTCCCCGGCCAGGATACGAACCCATGACATAGCGCTCGCGGAACGCCAGGCGAGTGTCTTACCACTACACCACGGAGACTGCATGACTTTCCTCTCCAAAACTTGACATATGAGCGAGTCACAGCCTGCGTCCAAGCATCATTTATTTATATATTTATTTATTTATTTTTATTTATTTATACAAGAATTCTTACATTATTGTACAGCCACTAACACCCATAGCGTTTCGGGCAAGTCCTTAATCCTATGTTCCCCACAATATGACCCCGCCAAATCGTTTAACAATCAGGTACCCATTTTACTGTTGGATAAACAGAGGCTACGGTTAAGGATTGATGCCCAGTAAATCTTTCCCGGCCAGGATACGAACCCATGACATAGCGCTCGCAAAATACCAAACGAGTATCTTAATCACTACACCACGGGGACTGCTTATTACAAGCTAAAGAGAATGATCGAGACTTTGATGGCTACCTTTCCATCTTCCTCGCTCATAATGGCCTTCCTAGTGTTCCTGTACTTTCTCCACACCTCTTGCGCTCTGTTCCCTTTCCCCCCCACGGTGCATACTCCGACACAGTATCTACACCCCCACGTCTTCTACAGTCCCCCCATACTTCCAACACCAGTGCTTTCTTCCATGACTGACACAGAAAACGGACCCCAACCACTGTTGATCAGCACATACTATCTTAACGTCCGCCTGATGAACCCCTTCATCACCCTGAATCTACCTCTCTCCCCCTCCCCTCCCTGAAGGTCAGCATTGATCCAAATGGACAACTAAAACTGGAATTTGTGGCGTTCTATGTTGCTTGGGAAGTCTTGGTTATAGGGTTGATATAAAGCCATAGCTTGGTTACTGACTTTGATACTTACAATGATACATGACTAATGGCGTCCAAGCTTGGCGGGAGTCCTGCACGCACTCTGTTGTTCAGTACCGTTGGTGGATGATACGCAGCGCGTACAAACGGATGGGGCCGTTTGCTATGAACATGACATTCCTCCTTTTCTTTAAAAAGAATGAATACAGAATGTCACATAAGGGGCATAACTGGCCGACTCCTCACAGTGTTCAAGAGAGAACTGGATAAGCACCTCCAAAGGATACCTGATCAACCAGGCTGTGACTCGTACGTCAGGCTGCGAGCAGCCGCGTCCAACAGCCTGGTTGATCAGTCCGGCAACCAGGAGGCCTGGTCGACGACCGGGCCGCGGGGACGCTAAGCCCCGGAAGCACCTCAAGGTAACCTCAAGGTATGTCTACCATGCTTGTAGCACAAAGCAAAGTTATTAACACAAAATAAGTCATTAACATATCAAAAGATGTTGAATACATGTAACATTAATTAAGCGTACAAAGAATTTAAACAACTTAATTAATCTTTACCACAAAGGATTTCAATGTTAAAAATACAAATGTAATGTTAAACAAAAATGAAAGAAACTGTACTATAAAGTTTCAGAATATTGAATGAGAGATCTGCATTATTCAAGCAATATTAAATTTAGTTTAGCATAATAAGTAAAAATTTTGTATTACCTAGGAACACAATTTATCATCAAATCTTTTAGGGCGTTTAACATGACGTTTAGGACGAGAGTCCTTAAACACAAGAATATCCCTTGATGAATTATTTCTTGAGTTATAACTAATTCTTTCTTTATCGTTTGTACGACTTTGCACTTCATCATTTTCTACACTATTTGGCATCACTTTGAAATAAGCCATATTACGTGTTATACTATGATCTCTATTACTAGCTGTTACCATAGTTCCTTTTACACTAATCACTTTATATGGTTTTGTATCATACGGCATATCTAGCTTTCCCTCTTTTTTCTTTTTAACGAGAACAGTGTCTCCAACCTTTATGAATTGTTCCTTTGCACGTTGATCATGAGCAATTTTCATTTTGCCCTTGGCTAGTGCATCCTTCTGAGCGAGACGTTTATCCGTTACCTCGGCTGGCATGACGGGTAGTGTCATTCTCATAGGACGTCCAAATAAAAGTTCACCAGGTGACTTGCCCAGTGTTCCATGTGGTGTTGCACGGTAGTTCCTGAGAAAAGCATACATAGCTTGTTTCCAGGATCGTCCTTCGGCATGAGCACAGCGTACCGCTTTCATGAGAGGTTGCATGAATCTCTCGACTTCTCCATTTGCTTGAGGATGTAGTGGCATCACACGGCGGTGTTTGAATCCAATATGCTCAGCAAAGTTGACGAAGTCTTGTCCATTGAATGGCGGTCTATTGTCCGTCTTGACAACTTCAGGAATGCCAAAGTTTGAAAAGATCTTGTCGAGTTTCGAGATGACGGCCTTTGCAGATGTGGAAGTGATGATTTCTACTTCTGGATAACGTGAGTGATCATCAGTAACTACCATCAAGTACTCTCCAGTTGGTAGCGGTCCGCAGAAGTCCATCGATACTTCCGTCCATGGTGCAGCAGGTAGTGGTGAAGGTTGTAGAGGTGTTGGTCTTGAAGTATCCACTGCAGCTTGGCAAGGGACACAGGCATCATGCATGTCCTTTGCTTGACGATCAATGCCAGGAAACCACACCTTTTCTCGTAGCAGCTGTTTGGTCCTAACAAGACCTTGGTGTCCTTGATGTGCAAGCTTCAGAGCACGTTGCTGGAGAACAGCTGGAATGACAATACGAGTACCTCGCAGCACGGTGTCGCGTTGTTGCGTAACACTTAATTCTGTCTGGATGCGTTCAAGTGCTTTGAATGCATCTTGGTCAACTCCTGAGGGTGGGATGCGTGGAAACTTTTTCTTAGTCAATGCATCCACTGTTGCTTGCAGAGTTGGGTCCTCTAGGGTTGCAGTACGGATTTCATCAAGAGTGAGAGCCTTAGGGACTGCATCACAGGTTACAGAGTGTACATATTCCTCGGCAACTGGAATTACATCTGGGTTGATGTGCAGATGAACTTTGCTATCAATATAACAACCTATGGATTTAAATCGATCAGAGAATTCAGCAACAATAGTATCAACTTTGTTTGCAGAGTCCACTGCCACAGGATTAGAAAGCTGAAGTAGCCTCAGTTTGGTTGAAGTCTTGTAACTGAGTAGAGACTCCTTTGCATTCTTAACAACATGGAATGTAGTAGTGAACATTGCACTCTTTGACTTAATCTCTGCAGTGAAAGTTCCAATCACTGGCAAGGCTACCT